GGAGTGGGTAGCCTTTCCCTTCTCCAGGGGACCTTCCTAACCCAGGCCTCCTGCATTGCAGGCGGATTCTTCACCAGCTAAGCCACCCGGGAAGCCCTGGTTTTATTTTTTGATGGGAGTATAATGGAGAAATGGAGCCTTTCAGAACCAGAACTTAAAAAATTGTGGCTTGTGAAAGCTTCATGAAAACATACCTTTATTGATGAGTTGGATGTCGACCACACGTTGCCTAACAATCACAATGTGTGAACAAAGTAAAGCAGGAGAATGTATGACAAATGTTCAGAAAAATAGGTTGAAATGTTACTAGAGTGAGGAATCAGCTGCCACAAATATTACATGTTTCGGATTTTGTTGTTGTGTTTTTGTTTGGTCATGCCTGAAGGGATCTTACTTCCCTGACCAGGGATCTGACCATCCAACCTATGCCCTCTGCATTGAAAGTGTGGATTCTTATCTACTGGACTGCCCCAGAAGTCCCAGATATTATAGGTTTACTTGATGATCTGATATACTGACTTATGAGAACCTTCTTTGCAGTGATAAGAGTGCACTCATTTATTCTGTCACTCTAGAGTGATTTCAACCATGGACCATCTATCAGGAAGCAAAATCAATGCACTTTCTTTATGTAGCTCATATTTTATATTGGTAGGTCGCAATAATTGAATGCAATAAGATGGTGGGACTTCCCTGTGGTGGTCCAGTGGTTAAGACTCTGCACTTCCAATGCAGGGAACATAGCGTCCATTCTTTGTTGGGGAACTAAGATTGCCACATGCCTCAGAGGGGTCAAAAATAAACATTAAAAATTGTCTTAGAAAAAGGTAAGATGGTGATTTGTACCATGAAAGTGTATGGGTACAATGATGGAGTGAGAATGTGTTGTAATTTAAACAATTTGTTTATGAAATGCTGATATGATAAGGAGATATTTGAACAAAATCATTAATTAACTGAAAGTCATGAGTCAAAGGATGACATGGCCTGTGAAACCCATGAAAGTAAACAAAACAAAACAAAATAATTCTTACCTGGGTAGTGCTTTAAATCATTTTATAATTCTGGACTCCAGAATTCAAGAGAATAAATCCGTGTTGTTTTCAAGTAGTTTGTTTGTGGTAATTTGTTACAACACCAATAGGAAAGTTAATAAAATGGTGTACGTAGAAAATCAAAAGGATCTACAAAATATTCTAGGGAAGGTATGATTTTCAAGATGTCAGAACACAAAAACAATATACAAAATGCATTGAAATTTTGTTGTTGTTTAGTTGCTAATTTGCATTCAGTTCTTTGCAACCCCATGGACTGTAGACCCCCAGGCTCCTCTGTCCATGGGATTGTTGAGGCAAGAATACTGGATTGGGTTGTCATTTCTTTTTCCAGGGGATTTTTCCCACCCAGGGATCAAACCCAAGTCTCTTACACTTACTGCATTATTAGGCATATTCTTTACCACTAGTGCCACTTGGGAAGCCCCCAAATGCTAATATCTCTATGTAAACATCATGTCAATTGATTGCCATTTTTTCTATGGAAGAAACCTTCATGGATGAAACCTTCCACCAGTAAGGAATGTGGGAAAACCTACTTTGTAAGTAGATGTTTAATGACACATTGCCATCAAAATATTGAGGGTAGATATGAAGTTATCAGATGGTTGATAATCTACTTTTGCTTTCTTTAGGGTTTTATTAAAGAGAATATACCTCCCCAGTAAATGCCCTCAGAAATACAGCAAAGTTAATATTCTTTAGATGAAATAAATCCCAGTGTCTTCTGAATACTGTATATTTTACAGGCTCTGTTAACCAGATCTGATAGAACCCTCAGCAATAGAACACAAAGATGTAAAATACATTACAGCTTAAGAAGAAAAGGTAAATATTAATTACTCTCAGAGTGAACATATAATGAACTTGATATTGCATTATATTTACTTATGATTTACTTAATTATATTATGATGTAACCTTTTCTCAAAAGTATTTGAAGATAATTCAGTGTAAGTGTGGAATAGAATAATTATTTTACCAAATAAAGCAGTTCTCATCAAAAGAAAAAAAGATTCTCTTATTTCTACTTCTCTTTTTATCTTATCTATCTTAAACGATGGATGCTAGTTAAATATACTGTGGTAATCATTTCACAATATAGGGAAATCAGACTATTTTGCTGTATACCTTAAACTTATACAATCATGTATGTGATTGCATGAAGAGCTGTTTATATAGCTCTTATATGTCACTGTGGAGTTGGTTTTAAAGAGGCAAATAACTAAAAAACATTAGCAAAAAGAGAAACAATAAAATTTATAACAATTTTTGAAAACATATTGCTCTTTTTAAAGCCCTGGTTAATAATCTAAATTACCACTTCTCTTGGTTCTCCAGTATCAGATCCCAGATCTTGTCCTTGTCTCTGGAACTGAACAGAGTATTTAATTTGGCCTCTGCAGTGAAAGAGAGATAGAAGTAGAGAAGCTCTTCTGCAATATGAAATAGACCATACAACGTAGGGAGAGTTTTGTATTTCTCATTCTAGTGTGTAATACAGAGACAAGTTCAGTTCTTGTTTCCTTAAACTGCTGAAATTAATTCTAATTACACAAAATGTTTCTGCATCCAGCTACTGTCCTATGTCAACTACTCTGGGAGACCCACATTTCCAGAATCCTGAACTGTCTTTAGGCCTCATTGGCAGGGCAGGAGAGCAGCCTGCTGGCAAAAACAATTCCTTTTAACTTAAACCGTTTTCAACTTGTTTAAAGGGAACAAGTTGAAAGTTATGTTACTTTCGGACATAACTGGCCCACAGAAATGCAAACTTTACCTTAAAGTTGTTTCTGCAACTTCAAATAAGCCGGTCAAGGACAGGTAGGGACCTTGAGACCCACCCCCTTTTCCACCACCCGCTTTTCCGCCCTCGGGTGGCTCCGGCTCAAACCTGGGCTCACCGCCCACCGCCCTGTCTCTAGCGCTCCGCCCAGGCCCCGCCCAGGAAGCCCCACCTCTTCGCTTCGCGCACGCGCAGTTCTCTGCAGACCCGGAAACGGAATTCTTGGGACGAAGGTCAGTCTGCAGAGCGTAAGTTTCTCTTCTCTAGCTTAAATCTTCTGTGCTTTGCGGTGCTTTGACTCCATCTTCAGGGTCTTGGAGTCACTGCGGTCTTTAAATTCCCTCTCACGCCCCCACTCACCATGTAAACCGAGACGTCAGTGTTAAAAGAGTTCCCAGACCGTTTCCCTTTGGGTTTTCGATGTTTCTGGGGTCAGTACCGAAGGCCTTGGCTTTTGTGCCTTCGGTCCACGTAGACACCACCTTTCGCCACATTTTCCTGCTTAAAACCCTTAACTATCTCTGCCTTCCGCCTCATGAAACTCTTCGTCCGCGAGGTGGATTCTCGCCCCCCAGCCTCGCCCTCTGACCCTGGAGGTCGCGCCGGCCACCCGGCTGCCGGAGAGGCCGAGTCCTTTTCCCGGTGCTGGGATTCTGAAGAGCCCATCCGGTTCCTGAGACCCCCTCGCTCGCAGCCCCTCAGTCCTCGCGTCTCCTCAGACCCGTCCTTCTGCCCCGCAGGGCCCCCTCTCCTGGTCAGCCCTAACCCAGGGTAAGGGTGGTGACGTGGGCCATCTCTGTGACGCCCAGTGTTGTTCGGTCCAGAGATCCAAACGGTCTTTTTCAGTCCGCGGGCATCTTATTCAGTCGCCATCCTCGTAAATACAGGGGCGAGGAGAAGCAGACAGAGAGAGCGACTGAGACAGACAAATTGAGAAGGATAAAGAATGAGGGAAAACCAGTGGGAACAGACAGGGACTTGTAAATAGTAAAGTGAAAGTGATTACGCCTTGAAGGTAGAAAGTGAATAAAAGAGAAGTTAAAAATGCCAGATCTCCAGGGGTTGGATAGCGACATAGGGAGAGGGACTCTGGACCTACTGGTAGGAGGGTGGCAACAATGATGAGGCCCTTCACAGAGTCCGGGAGAGGATAAAAGGTGGAAACATAGCCTTCAGAGCATCATGGTGATTGGGAGAGGAGAAGAAAAATATTGACTGCAAGATCGAAGGGAGAGAGAGCCGGAAGGAAGCATCACCACCTGGGGTGCCCGAGAGTGGGGAGGAAGGGAGTGTAACATAGAAGGAGTGTAACTGAAGGGCACAGAAGAAGCAGAGAAAGGGGCAGAAATACACAAGAGATGTAGGGCAGTCAGAAAAGTTAAGAGAGAAGGAGCATCAAGAGAGGGAATGATTTGCAGAGTGGAGTGAGACAGGTGTGAGAACATAGGAGGGCAGAAACAGCAGGAAAGTAGAGGGGAACAAAAAGAAAGATATAGAAATAGGGAGACAGGATGACAATATGTGGAAACACATAGTGTAGGTAGACACGATTGTCACACTAAGTGAAGTAAATCAGACAGACACACATGATATCACTTATATGTGGAATCTAAAAAAAATGGTACAAATGAACTTATTTACAAAGCAGAACTAGATTCACAGATACTGAAAACAAACTTGTGGTTCCCAAACATGGAAGGAGGAGGAGGGATAAATTAGAAGTTCGGGATGAACAGATACACACTACTATATATAGAATAATTAAACAAGACCTACTGTATAGTGCAGGGAACTATATTCAATATCTTATAATAACCTCTAGTGGAAAATAATCTGAAAAAAATATTTAGTGAAAAAAAGGATACCCTACACTATGATCTTCAAAGCTCTATCAAGCACTGAAAAAAAGTGTAGGAACTGACTTGTTGATCTCTGTAGGAGTTGACTGTTCTGAGTCCTTCCTGAGACAGTGTGCAGCAGAGGACTGTCTGTTCCACATGGTGAGGTCTTCCCAGTTTGGGGGGGGTGGGGGGAGGGCACAGGAAGGGGGTGTGTTGATTTTAAGCATTAAACTGCCTATTTTCACCTTTCAAGATTGACTTCTAAAGACTCAGTGAGACTGAGGAAGAAGCCTGGAAGAGCAAAGAAAAGGAGTCAGGAATGGCTATTTCTCAGGTAAGGTCATATTCTCAGTTGATTCCCAGTCTACCTTCTATTCTGTGGTCCTGGCACCACTGAAAATGCATTTTGCTTATATGCAAAATCAATTCAGAGCATTCTTTTCTCTTGCACTGCTTTATGTATCTGTGTTTATGCCAGTACCACACCATCTTGATTACTTTGTAATGTGTTTTGAAATCTATAAAGGTTCCTTCCTTTCTTCTTCTTTGGCAATTTGGGATTCTTGGAGATTCCCTATGAATTTTAGTGTAATAGCTTACATTCCTGCCAAAATTGCCATGCAATCCCTTTTGAGAGGGATTAGATTGAATCTGTAAAACACTTGGGGTAATAAGTTCATTGTAAGAATATTTAGTCTTTCAATCCAAAAGTATAGGATGTCAGTTTATTTGTATCTCTTTATATATCTTTTAGCAAGTTTTAATAGTTTTCAGTATACAAGTTTTTCACCTCTTTCTTGGATTTATTATGAAGTATTGTATCCTTATGGTGCTTTAGAAATAGGATTCTTTTTTAATTTTCTTTTGGCATTGTTCATTGTGTATATGCCTCCCTGGTACTGCAGTTGTTAAAGGATCTTCCTGCAATGCGGGAGACCTGGGTTTTATCCTTGGATTGGGGTGATCCCCTGGAGAAGGAAATGGCAACCCACTCCAGTATTCTTGCCTAGCAAATCTCATGGACAGAGGAACCTAGTGGGTTATAGTCCATGGGATCATAAGACTCAGACACAACTGAGGGACTGAGCACACAGGCAGCTAAACCACCACCATTGTGTATAGAAATTTACCTGATTTTTGCACATGGACTTTTGTATCCTGCAACTTTTGTAGAGTTATTCTTTGATGTAGCAGTTTCCTTGTGGAATCTTTACTATTTTTACATATAAAAGTTGTCATCTATGAAAAAAGATAATTTTACTTTTTCCAGTTTGGATAAGTTTGATTTCTTTTTCTTGTCTAATTTCTCTGATGAGGCCTTTCTGTACTTTGGTGGACAGTAGTGCAGAAGTATGTATCCTTGCCTTCTTCCTGATCTGAGAAGGAAAGCTTTCTAGTTCAATGTTTATATCTTTTTTTTTTTCTTAACTTTGACCAAGCCGAGCCACCTGTGGGATCTTAGTTTCCCTATGAGAGATTGAACCCAGGGCTATGGCAGTGAAATCACTGAATCCTAACCACTGGGCCATCAGGGAACTCCTGTCTTTTCAATTAATTGTGTGTTTACATATGTGTGTGTGAGTGCATGGAAGTACACGTCCATGGTTTTGATAAAAACATATTTCAAACCTATCTTTACACTTGCAATTATATCTTAAATATAATCCTTGACCTCAAAAAAATTTTTTGCAGTGTCATGTTAATGGTTTAAATAGCAATAAGATTACTAACATCGTATGTATGTTTGTGTATGAGCCCACATGCATGATGATCTTTAATGCTCTTCCATGTTGTTCACCTTCAGCTTCTTTCAGATTTTCTCAGAGAACCCTCTGTCAGTGTGCCTTTAATACTCTTTCTGTTATTCAACTGTTTGATTCTTTAGCTTCAATTCCAGAGGCCAGCCCTCTGAATTCTGATATTACTGTTTAGTTTTATGACCTGAGTCAAGTGTCTCCAAGTGTGTCTGACACAGTATTCTCTGCTTTAAGATGGGAAGAAATCGTCTCTAATGAGCTGTTATGTTTATAGCAATTTCATACATGTAAAGAATTGATTTAGAATGGGATTTGGCCTATAGTAAGTATTCCAACACTTCGAGTCATTGCTCTTGTAATCGTCGTAATTGCAGATTTTGACCTTTCTGTAAAGCCACTGTGGACTTTGTCATCTCTGAAGATCCCACTGGTGCTGTAGCTCATCTAGATATTGACTGTCATATGGTGTATAAAACATAATAGGTAACATTTCTGAATAGACCACCTGTATTGAATTTTATTTCTATGTTGTTTGTGTGCTGTCCAGAAAAAGTGAAAAATCTGCATTGTATGGAGGATATCATAATCTCTCTGAAAAGGGATAAGAAATTAAAATTACGGATGCATAATTTGCTCCAGATACCTTTACCTGGATCTGTCAGAATACATACTTCAATTGAATGGATCCTTCCTCCTCTCTCCTCTTCTCATTTTGTGCAAAAATAAGAACTCTTTTCATGGCCCTTTGAAGAGATGTTTTTGTTTCAGGAACAGTTGACCTTCAAGGATGTTGCTGTAGAATTCTCTCAGGAGGAGTGGGAATGCCTGGACCCTGCTCAGAGGGCCTTTTACATGGACGTGATGGTGGAGACCCTCAGGAACCTAATCTCTGTGGGTGAGGATCACTTCGCTTCAGAAATTGGAATCTGTCCTTGAGTATCATTGCATTTCCCTTCTGTGCCCCTTGGGATCCCCTGTTTTGCTTGACTGATCTGAAATCCCTGTTGATTCAGACAAGGAAAGCTTCATGCTGTGGTATCACGAGTTTAAGCTTAGCTTTTCTGCAAATGATTAATCCATTTCATAATACATCAGGCATTGTTCCAGAGCATAAGTATTTATAAGGCTGAGGGCAAACTTTAAAAATATCAAATTCTCTTTTTTTCTGCCCCTATGCTTTTTGCTCTACTACTTCTTGGAAGAGAGCTCATTATCTGAATATTACACTGTTTCCTCTGCATTCACTAGGAGGCAAGTGGTGGACCAGCTTGTGATAGAGTTCTTCAAACCCACGTTCAATGTCCTCACTCCTCACCTGAACAAAGAGCTGGGATGCTAGAAAAGCCCCAGCTCTTCATGTTTCATTCTTTTGAGAAGCAGAAATTTCTATTTCTGATCAGAATATCATTTCCATCTTGGAACAAGAGGAACACCTCTAGCCTGTGAAGAGTGACATGAAAAGAGCAAACCACCAAGAGGATAGGAATGTATCAAAAGTCTGAGCACAGGTCAGATCTCAGAAGGGCAGAGAGGAAGTGGCAGTATTACTGGTCTTTGGGTAACTCTACCCATGTGGGAGAGTTCTTTTCAGAAAACAGAAGTTTATTTATTGTGAATGCTGAGAGCACATTTTTCTTACTCCTGGGTCATCATTCTGTTCTTCAACATGTAGAATGTATTCTTTCACCCTCTGGTGGAGCACCACCAGAAACAAAAGCAAAGTCTTCATCGTGATCTACACTCTGCCATCTGGTCCCTGTGAACTAGTTGTTGGTTGACTTTGAGCACCGCGAAGACGGTTGCTTTATAAGCGTCTTTTACCCCTTTCACTTCTCTCCCGGGACTTAATTTCATTGGATGCTCAGTTCTCAGTCTATATAAATAAGAGTTGATGCTTCCAGACTCACTCCCTGGGCTTTTCTCTTTCATCCCCATTTGTGTTCTTAAAAGATCTGGTCAGAAGATGGGAAGGCATTGGCTGCTTTTTGATTCCATGTGGCACCTTCATGGAGCTGTTGTCTCAAGCTCTCTCCCCTTGTTTAGCTTTTGCAGCCATTTCTTCTGTTCTGATTTTTGCCACACACTTCAGGGATATGTGAAACTGGGAGGCAGATGGGGTCTTGTGTAATTTTTACATGGCAAAACTACAAAGACAGTGGATAAAGAGATCCTCTTTTTTAATTTCCTAGTTTCTCTTGGGGGAAATATGTGTATCTTTCAGGCTCTTGGTTTGGCATCTTGGGTTGACTGCATGGTTTCATCTCTTCACCAAATCTTGTATTTTTTCCACTCTTTCATCACTCTTCTATGGCTCTACCTAATCAGTATACTCTCCTGATTCCATATTCTTCTACATTTGCATGATTTTACCATTTGAAACTTGAGGGATTTTGTGTCTGTGTGATTAAATAAACTTAATAAATAAATTAATTAACTTATTTTATTGGCTTTCATAGGCTCTGAGAGAAATATAAAAATAACTAGCACATTCTTGCCTTCAAGTAGAAGAGTTTTAATCTTGACTGTGAAACTTGCTTTTGAAATATAGTCCTAGAGTTTATAATTTTATCCAGTTTCCTTACTGTGATAATCCACTTGTAGTAGACAGCTCTGGATGGACTCTTTGTGGGGTGGATTTGCTAACAAAGTTTTTGTTTTTTTATTTATTTATTTATTTATTTATTTTATCACAACCATAGCTAACAAAGTTTTTGATGGAGAATGATTTACCTTATGAGTTATAATATTTTCCTGCTATGTACTGAGTCACCACTTGAAGCTCCTTAGTAGATTGGTCAGCATGTTGTAGGATAAGAGAAAGTATCATGAGAGCTTCACTTTCTTTGTTGTTTTTTTTTTCTTTTCCTAGCTTTGAGGACTGTCACAAAAGCCTGCCTCAAGGGCACAGTGTCAGTCTTGTTTCCAGATACCAATGACCATCTCCTATGAGCCAGAGGAGATGATGTAGGAGTTTATCCTGGGAAAACTTTATTCACGTTCTCCTCTTCCTGATGTTGGACCCCTGGACTGGAGGGTCTGATGTGGGGCTTCTGTGGGAGAAACTGTTTTATAATTATTCTCCAGTTTGTCTGTCACCCACACAAAGTATGAGATTTGATTGTATCATGGATCTGCCCCATCCCTCCTATCTTGTTGGGGTTCTTTCTTTATGGCTTTAGTTGTAGCAGATATTTTCTGGTAGATTTTAGTCTTTGTCAGCGATGGTGGTTCTGCAGATTATTGTGATTTTGGTGCTTGGGAAAGAAAGTATGATGATTGTGCTCGTGAGAGGAAGTGAGCATAGGATACGTCTGCTCCGCCATCTTGGCTGCTTTCTGGTACAATTATATTCACCTAGATATACAATCACTAGCTGTGCTCCCACATATGCACATACCTTGTACTCCACTCATGCCATTTCTCATTGCTGACCTTTCTTCACATGGTACTTTTATGTGGATGGGAAGACTATCATTTGCTCACATATTTAAATCATTATTTTCATCCCAGTTTCCCTAGCACTCCTTTGCTCATCACTCTACCTTCCACATAACTTGGTGTAAAAATGGTCCCTCTT